TTCTTTTTGGATGGTTTCAGGTTTTCAGGAAAGCTCTTAGATATGGACACAGCTTTGAAAACCTTGCCTCTTCCACAGACTGGAGGTTGAAAACTGGTCTGGAAATGGTTTGAAATTTAGGGCTGTGATATCCCCTGTGTGGTTGCTTTCCACAAACACCCTTAATTGCTGAAGTTTTGTTTTGCTCTTTATTTGAATTTCTCAAATATTGTTCATTCTTGCTTCCATTAACTTGCTTTGGATGTTTTGGATAACATGATAACATCCTGAAAGGGCACCTGCCCAGATGTGCTTTGACTGATAAGAGAGTGAAGTTAATAGCCCATTATGTGAACAAGAGAAAGTGGTGCCTGAGAAATATCCTGTGCTGGGTTTATCTCTAATTATCACCAATAAGAGACACAGTGGCTTGGAGAAGCTGTATAATTCCTGTTACCGTTATGGGAATGAATCCCCTGGATTTCCTGGCCTGTCACCTGCACATGGAGTGAATCTGGAGAAGGTTCTAATTAGAGAGAAAGCCAAGGTCAGGTTTGGCCAATATCTGCCCTGATCAAAGAGCACAATTCAGCTCCCATGCTCAGCCACTTCATCTGACATTTCTTTAAAGAAGCTAGAGGTATTAATTTTTACATAATAAATTATTAAACTCAGCAAATTATATAAATTCCTTTCTAGCCACGGGTTTTGTATGTTTAGCTTACTGTAATGAAGCCGTTTCTGTTGGTTAATGCTTTTGAATGACGATGGGGATATTTTGCATTTGTTTTGGTTGAAAGAGTGTTTGAGTCAGTGTGGAGCAGATGGAGCCTCTGACTGTAAAGAGTAATTTTCAGTATGGCAGGACAGGAAGTGTCTGTTTATTTATATGATATCTAAACAATGGGCCTAAACCATTGTTCTGCTCTTGTTGAGCACAGTGATTTGAGGAAAAAAATATTTCACCTTTAAATATTCCATGAATAAATTTGCTGCCTAAGACACTAGGGGAAGCAGGAAATACCAGAACCAAACATCTCTTAAAAAAAAAAAAAAAAAATCACAAGGGGGACACTGTAATGCACTGAAATGAAAAGAATTGGGGTATGAACCAAATATTCCTGTCTGGGGGTGGGATTAGTTTTCTAATTAAAAAGTGAAAGTATTATGATGCATTTATAATTCACCTGGCATCAAGAACTAAGAAATTATGGGAGTGGTTGAGGCAAACACTTTTAAAGAATAAAACTGGTAACTGTTTAGGGCAGATTTGCTGGCACTGCAGAGCTGTGAATTCTCTCTCTCGGGGCAGCGTGGGGTTTTTGTACTTCTATTTCTCTTCTTCTCTTGAGAGCACTCTGATTTACTTTTGTGATAAACCCGTAACAACAGGGGGATCACATTGCTGAAATGAGTTTAGCTGCGAGGGATACATAATGGCAGCTGAAAAATAGCACAGGGGAAATAGGTTTTGGCCATGGTTCAGCAGAAAGCAGCTCCTGTCAGCTGTGTGATGCTCTGTTTGCTCACAAGTGTCTTTCAGCTGAGCAGGATCACAGAGCTTTTTGCTGGGCTGTCGTGGGTGCTGTGCCTGTAGGATGGATCACTTCAATTCGCAATTATTCTCTGAAGTACCTTTGAGATGGGAAAGCGGGCAATGTGTGAGTGTCCATCCGGAGCTGTCCTTGTGTCCTGGGCGAGGGACAGCCCCCAAGAGCCTCCAACAGCCCATGCCATTGTGGGATGCTCAGCTGGTGTCTATTCTGAGCCATCTGCCCACAGAAAGTCCCCTCCGACCTGTGACATCAGAACAAGGGAGAACGAAATAGGTAGAAATTGGGATGCTGGATAAAATATTCCTGTCTTATCCATATTCCCAGCAGGTGGGTGGTGGGGTCCTGTGCTGCCTTATTTCCTAAGAATGCAGAGCCTTTGTAAGCCACACGTAGCCACTGCCATATGGTGCAGACATTTTCAGTATTAGAACCCGCACTGAAGTTCCTGAAGCTGTGAAAAAAATTATGGAAATATCTGTTTCTGTCTGGGCTTCAGGTAGCAGTGACTGTGGGATTTCATTTATGTATTTTAGAAAAGTAAAAATGAAATCCCAAAGTAAACATTGCAGCAGAAATAGTCTGGCCTTGTTTTATCTCCGCCAGGATATCGGGAAAACATTGTTCTGCAACTGCATTGTGAGCTAGGAAAATTTCCTGTGAACAGTGCTGTGTTTATGCCAGTGCTCCAAATCTCAGCCTTGCCAGAGGAGATGTCAGACAATCCTCCTGTTTTCTTCCTTGCTCTTGCTGAAGCACCAAACCATATGGCAAATTAAGCCCGATTTTTATTAAACTTTTCATTGTACTGAGCTCCGTGTGAACTGGGAAATGCACTTTCTTTGAACTATGCAGCCATTATATAAGCATCTTAATTAGGAGATGGTAATGTTCTCCCTGACATTCCTGGGAGTTCGCGGCTCCCTCTTGTGGCTAATTAAGCGTTTTAACGAACCTTCTGAAAATGACTTTTTGTGAGCAGCCCACAGCTCCTGGGCGAACTGTGCCGTGGTGCCCCAGCAGCTCAGTGCTGGGCTCTGGGTCACAGTATCAGTGTGCAGTAGCTGGAGGCACGGGCAGGTAAATTGATAAAAGGAAAAGGTCTGCAAAGGGTGGCACCGTGAATGTGACGGCTCCCTGAAGGCTTCAGAAAGTTGAGTGAGCTCCTCCAGTCATTCAGAGAACCTCGGCTCCTCCCATACGTTAGATGGGGAAGAAGAAGGGTTTGCAGCTGGAGTGGGGATGAGGTGTGGGATGTGTCAGCTCCAAGGAGCACTGACCTTCCAGGCACCACGTTGAGATGTTTCACCATCAAATCCAAGGTGTAGATCTTTGCCAGATTCGATGTTGAGAAGAAATTTTCCCACCAGTTTGGGTGGGAACCCACCAGGGTTTGCAGGGACCATTATTACTACTACTACTACTATGACTACCATTATTATTATTATTACTACTACTACTACTACTACATTCTTGCTTTTCTATCTAGTGTGGAGAAAAAAATCCATATGACCATCTGGATTTTTTTTTTAACAAATTCCCTTTCACAGGAATCCCTTCCCAATATTACTTTTTCTTTGTGGATTTTTACAACTGGGGCATTGTGTTTATACTGCGTCTTAAATTTGTCATAAAGAGTTAGGTAATGTTTGGTGGCTCTGGTGGAAATGGCTGTAGTATAAATATCTCTGGGTTAGATTTTTGTGCTGGCCTGAGGCTGATTTCAGGTCTTTCAAAGCACTGTTCTTATATGGGAAGGTTCACTTGCCTCATCTCACTCTCAGACATCAGGGCAGAAAAGGATCAATCCATCTTTTCCCTAGAAAAAATGATCAATGATCATGACATTGCAAAATCTCAAGTATAGCTTTCTGTTAAAGAAAATATGTATTTTTACCCTTGACATAAAAAATACCAGAAATTGGTCCAAATCTGACCTGAACAGCAGGTAACTTTTCAGTAGGAGCCATTAAGATGGAGTTTTATCACCAAACCAGAAGTCTCAAAGTAACTTTGCCCTTTTGTCACCTGCAGTATTGTCTGCCTCTGTGTTTTGGCTTGACTTACTCAAAAATACACAGGAAACTTCAACCATTAGTGTTTCTGAGTATTGGAAGGAGGGAGAAAAAGTGAGGTGAAACAGGTTTTTACTTTGAAATGTCTCTTTTCCCCAAAGGGTTTGGAAAGCATTACTTTATCTCTGAAAATGCTGATTTCTTATTTCATAACTTGTGGCAATTTTTTCTCAATTAAAATAAAGGAATAATGATTATGGAGTTAAGTCAAAATCTCCCTGCCCAGCAATCTGCAAACCAGCATTGCTCAACCCACAGCAATAGGGCAGCAAACATTTATTTCCTCAGGGACATTATTAAACACCCTGCATATTTATTAGCTCAAAGTTGGAGAAGATCCAGATTTCTAAGGCCACTTTCTCCCTTCCTCTTCCTGAACTGTAATTCAGACCAAAATATAAATTTTTGAGTCAATGTTTCTGTGGAAATCAGCGATATGAAATTGCTAGAAACAAAAGAACACTGAACAGCAGAGGGAAGAAATGGCTTGGCAAGACTGTCATTCTTAAAGGGCAAGATTAATTTATAATCCCCCAGATTCTGGTGTACAAATACAAATTTGCAAAGTGTGTGTCGCTTAAAACTGACGTTGTGTGGCTCTGCAAGTTGGTAAATGTTACTGTCACTAATGTGAGGCTGCCATGAAATTGGATTTTTAAGGATTTTGTTCTCATGGGAAAATAAGGTGAGAGTAACAAGGAGTCACCGTATTCCCATGGGTGTGTGTATATATATATATACACATAAACATAAATAGAAAAATAGAAATTTGGGAAATTGACTAATTCCAACTGTATGACTCAGGAATATTCTAGGGGCAGGATATTCTGATATTTTCATGCAGAGATTTTTCCCTTGATTTAAAATCCTGGGAAAGGAAGAGTTTGAAAGAGAACTGGGGGAAAAAAAACACAACCTGAAAGTAGTGTGTAATGACTTCACAATGACTTATAAAATATTGTGTGATGGCTCTCAGGTATGTTAAGGGTTGTTGTGAAATAAGAGTGCTTCTAGGCAATCAATAGAATATTCCTTTTTTTTTGGTAAGTTTGTAGCTGTTCTATCAATTTAACTAAAAAGAAGAAATAGCATTACATGAAATGTCAAATTCTAGACATCGAGTGAATTCAGTGATGGAATAACAGAAACTTAAAGTAGTGAAATTGAAGACACTAAAGATAGGAACCAGCCAAGAACATGAGCAGCTTGTCCAGGGTTTAACACAAAAATTGCACAGTGTCTTGTGAATGATTGAAATCATATTTTATAGTTCCATTTTATTGGCAGGGAACAGAGCTCAGCATTAGTTAAAAGACTGAAGTGACTTTTGTGGTTTTAGAATGAGTTTAAAAGATTTTACAACGTGGCCCATCACTTGTTTCCTACCATGCAGGTCATCAGAAGTGAAGGGACTGATGGAGTGAAGTTTCGGCTCTCTGGGAAGGGAGTAGATCAAGATCCAAAAGGAATTTTTAGGATCAATGAGATGAACGGGGATGTCTCTGTGACCCGAACCCTTGATCGAGAAGCAATTGCCAATTACGAGGTGAGTACTCAGAGTGATAACATCTCTGCCTCTGTGTTGATAGCGTGCATTTCCTGAATGTGTATTTGCTCCTGAAAGATCTGCAGTTAAATTGAAGACTCAATTGCAGCCACTGTCCTCTGAAATTTCAAGAGGATCTGTTGGAAATGGTAAATGTGTTTGTTTTTCACGCAATTGAAATTTTTCTGCTTTCTGCATGGAATTTCTGTCATTTATCTTCAGTGGAAATGCTGTCTGAACATTGTGTATTCATTTGATTTCTGAAGAGAAAATTTTGTTTGGACAATGGAAGATCTTTTGGGGAAGTTGTCACTATGGTACTAGAGAATTATACATTTTTATTGTCAAATGGTCAATGAAAAGTACTATTGAACTCCATTTTAGTAATGGGTGTCTTTAATAGAGATAAAGAGAATTCTGATGATATGGAAATGTTACATATGAAATGCACATCACCTACAAAGTTCTTAGTAAAGATTCCTTTCCTCGTCAACAAAAATATTTCTCTCTATTGAATACCCAACAAATGATCTCTGAAATCTGCAAAACAACTGCCCCACAGCGTCCCAAAATGCATAAAATAAACAGAGGACCTGTCAATTCATGTTTTCCATCCATCTCTGGGCGTGTGCACTCACATAACTTGTCCCTGGCCACGCTGATGCAGAGGAGCAGCAGAATTCCAAGCGCTCAGTTGTTGGTGCCTTTTGTGTCCCACCACAGGGATTATCTCCCACCCTCTGGCAGGGGGAGCACACGGTGCCCTGGCCCCTGTGGGACACAGGCTTGGGGACAGTGCTGGCTGCCATCCCTGACCCCTCAGTTTCTTCTCCTGCAGTGTAATAATCAACACTTGTACCTCCAGCGCTGTTTCCTTCCTCCTCTGGGAGAGTTTCCCAGTTTGATGATGGGTCCTACTGCTCAAACAGCACTGCTAAAATTTACCATATGCTGGTTTTCAACACTTGAACATCTCCCTCGTATCTGGGTCTGCAGTGAAATGTGTGTTAAACACTTGCACAGGATTTATGGGAGTTGCTGACGTCCTTCTTGCAAGAAAAACATCGCAGTTTCTCTTTTTAACGCTGTTCCTTGTCTTCATTTGCCAGCTGTTTCTTATTTTATCAGTGGCTTTCCACCTTAATGTGCTGAGTATAAACCTTGAATATTTTTTTTTTTCTCCTGGAAAATCATAGTAGACTTTTCAACTTAATGCAGCAAACCACAAATGGCCCTCGTATCTGATCTGGCAAAAGACACACTTAAATTAAGACAAACCCATTTCCCTAAAGGAGCTTTTTTGAAGCAAGGCAAGTTATGCACAAAAAATGTCATATAGCAGGTGATCCAGAGCAATGTGAATGCACAGCCTGAGAGGCTGTGGTGCTTCCTGAGCTCTAATCCAGCACTCTGCTCAGCAGCTCACCCCCATCCTGCAGCAAAAAATGGGGTTGGAATGTTCTGAAGGAGAGCCCTCAACTTGATTACTCTGTCTCAAATCCAGCCCATTATTTTCCAATAAAGATGTGTCATGGTGTCAGCAAGACAACAGGATTTTCTCCCCGATTGCTTTGGTACACTGAAAGGTGAATAACCTGAAATACCCTTGAATTTCTCTCAAAAAAGTGTTTTCTCGTTTTGTTTGAGCTTCTCCCTGCCCAGCACTGTGGTTCTGAAAGGGAAAATTCAAAGCAAAACGCCAACGAGTAAAGAAAAGATTGTTGTGAAAAAATACAAGAGCTTTGCAATCCATCAGAATATCAAATGTGTATTTAGAGGTGGGGGAACGATGAAGAGACAAAATCTGAGTCTTTCAGCTACACCCAGGGGTGCTCTGCCTGAGCACTGAGCATCCTGCACTTACTGCATAAATGCTCAAGGGGTAAGAATTGAAAAATGTTAATTGGCCACAAAAGAGAGCTTTGGTGATCACAGTATTTCATAGAATTTTGCAGATTTTACCACCTCAGAATGTTTTAAATTTGCTAAGAATGTTTAATCTGTTAAAAAAAAAAGTCGGGCTTTTTTCACTGAATGTTTGAAAATCTTGGTTTTGCTGCCCTCTTTCTCCTGGAGGAATACTGAAAACTTGTAGGAGTTCTTCTCTAGATTCATAACAAGAGAACATGATTAAATTAGAGAGTATTAAACTCTACACAGAGAACTTTGCTCATTGTTTGTGTTAATCCCTTCTTTCCATGGTTTAATTTTAAGCATTTTATTTCTAGCAAAAGTTAGAAAATATTTTAAAATAGAGTGAAGACATGTGTCTGAGGGTCAGGGTCTGCCAGTCTTTTCAGTGGAGCCCATTTGTGTGGAAGTTGTGTTTTCAGATGAGTTTAAAATTTCGTTTTTAGCAAAGGACCTCAAACTGGCAAGAGGAATGTAAGGCAGCTTGTATTAATGACACCACCCTCACCCTCTGAAATAAACTTATTAATCCACTTGGTTTATGAGTTTATTTCTTATGAAACTTTGTGGTTTGTGTTCTTAAAGTTCAAAGAATGTCAGTCAGCTTCAGTTTTAAGTGAAAGCTGCTTATGAAGAAGAGCAGGAGGATTCAGGAATGATATTATATCCAGAAACGTGTTAGAAAATCTTGTAGCAACTCTTTTTTCCCCCTCAAGAGGTTTATTAAAGAGCATCCTGATAGGAATTCTGCAGGTCAGAGTACACTGGTGGATTTACATGGAATGGTTTTACTTTGGGGCTTGCTGGAGCTTGTTGACAAACTGCTCAATGATGCTCTGAAGAGGGGGCTTAGGCAGGCTCTGGGCACGTTATGGAATTGCTGCTGGGCTGCTGAGATAAGAGGTAGCCTAGAGCCCCTATTTACTGGGAGTAAAAGGTTTTGCATTGTGCAAATATGCTCTCAAGCATATTTGGTTTTCTCTCGAGATTTGAATAAATCAGACTAAGTCAGACATTTCAGACAATGGCAAATAGTTTATTTATTTGCTATTGGAAAGTGCAGATGTGGAAAAGCAGATGAGGGATATTGGTGGGAGATTTAAGATGGATTTTCTAGCCCAAATCTGTGAGGCTCACGCCATCCAAAACCTGCCTATAATTTATGCAATTCAGAGTCCACTTCAGACCCATAGTCTTTTCTGATTCCAGCAGAGCAAAAATATTAGTGACTTTTCAGCCTTTACCTTGAGAAAAAAAAAATAAAAAAAATCAAGTGCTTCTGTAAAGAGATGTGATAACAGAGCAAAAGGATTCCAGTGAAGCTGGAAGGCTACTTGTGCTCAGTGTTGATAAAACCCCAATGAATTGGGAAACAAAGGGTCAAATAGAGGGCCGTGAAAATAGAAGCCTGAAAATCAGTGATTATGGGGTAATCTGCTATTTAAAACCCCTGGGCACATTTTCAAGACCTCACATTTAGCTGGATAATATATTTGTAGGCAGAATGCAAGAAAAGCCAGGAAGAATTGCAGAGGTTGATTGCCACCGCCAAGATGACAAAAAAGTTTCTAAGTTAAAAGAGCTCTGTTGTGTTCTTTACTCCAAGTTAGGTGGGTCCAGAAGAATTGTCAAAAATATTCCTTTTTTTTTTTTTTTTTTCTGTTCATGCATGAGATTTGGAGTTAGGCATTCCTTGGGCACAGGACAAAGGCTCCAGTTGCAGAAGCTCATTTCCCATGGAATCCCTGCAGCAGTGAAACCCCGTCCTGCAGTCTAAAGCAGCAGTGGCAAAGTGCCTCTGGGGTGTTCCAACTGGGACTCAAGCTTCTAAAGGGTGTTGCCATCGTTGAAAGGCAACAAATGTGTGTGGAAGAGAAATAATCAGAAAGTGATCCTCTGCAAGCATGAAATGAAGCAGCTTGATAAAAGTGCGTGCAAATTAGAGCTGTGACCAAATTTACCTAGGCAATTTGAACTGCTAATGAAGAGTTAGTTTTAATTATTTTTTAAGTAAAGAGCTTTATTTGCTTTAAAAAATATTTAACAAGCAGAGGTGTGAAATCAGCCCTCAGTTTTTTTCATAATGGCAGATCACACTTCTGTGAAAGGATGCCTTGCAACTGGTAGTGACAGACTGAGATATTTAGAAAACTTATGTTAACAGGACTGAAAAGAGAACTGGGAGTGTATAGTTCTATGAAGAATTGTTTCTATATGTTGGCTAACAAGTAGGATGAGAGGTGGGTAAAGATTTCGGATCCATCAACAGCTCTCTGCTGTGGGGACTGAGTCAAACGTGGAGGGTGAGGCTGCAGCCCTAATGGGCTCAATTTCCCTGTTTAATAAGGAACAAACAATGGAAATGCTTCACAATGATGAGGAAAACTAGCTTGCTCAGGTGCTGAGGAGCATTTTGTGGGAAAGATTTGTAAGTGCTTTAATGCATTTTTGCAGATAAGGGAAGTGTTACTATAGCAAAACCCTGGAAGTGAATGGCTGTAATTTATCGTGTGCAGGAGAAGGAATTTGTCGTCTGTGTAAGTCCATTTTAGTGCAGCCACATCCTTTTTAAAATGATTTATCATCCCCTGATACTGAATCTCTGCTGATGCTGGCTGGAGATCTGTGGACAGCACACAGAAACATGCTGCTCCTTCAGAAGGAAGATCACGAGTTTGCTTCTAACTCCAAGAATGGTCTAAAATGTATTTTAATCCTGGTTATCTGCACTGGCAGATTTGTCTGGAGTGTAACTGATCTGCTCTGTTTTGAGCTGAAACCAGTTAATGGGGAATGTCAGACCCCAGTCATCTCCTACTAATATCCCAAAAAAATGAAGGCACTCAGTGTTTCACGGCAACAAGTTTGGTCTTGTAGAGATGTAAATTGCAGTAAAATGTGATTGGTTTAATTAAAGAATCATTAATACACAGAGCAAGCCTGTTAAAATATTGGTGATTTCCAATTGCATCTGTTACATCAAAAAATAATGGAGTAATGGCAGAGTTTAAAGTTTCAGGGAAGAATCCTGACTATTTAGCAAGGGGAAATAAAAGAAAATTTTACTGTTAAAAAAAAAGAGTGGAAAT